TGTTGATACCAACAACAGTCCAGTAGGAAACTGAAAAGTCATCACGTGCCTGAGCGGGCCTACTACCCAAGTAGACGGCGGGCTGCAGCTGACGATGGCGCTGCTGTAGGTCTTGGGGTTGCTGCTGCTGTGCAGGCCCTCGCCGTTGGTGGCCTCTTCGTCTGGTTGGGTGTCGTCAGCCGCGCATGCGGCTGCCCATCGGCGCTACCCAATCACCCTCGACAAAGTCGTTAACGCTAGCGTGTTGGATAAACCGGGTAGGCCGAAGCTTGTAGGTTTGTGGAGAAAGGCAGCTCGGCCAGTGAGGGCCGAGATGGGAAAGTCTTGTATTAGAGGAAAGAGGGAAGGGCAGAGACCACTCGAGGCCGAGCAGCCGAAGAGTGCGTCACCACACCTATCCGTCACGCAATTCAGATCACTCATCGAATCTCCGAAGAAACCAAGCAGAAACTCCCTGTTCCTCCGCGATCTACCAACTGCAATCTCCGTAGATCCATGTCCCATACTCAACCACATTACTATGCTACGAGTATATCTAACATAGATACGACCCACCAGTTTCCTTCCATTCGTCTATGCTGCTCCGGTATATGTCATTTTTTCCTACCGGATCCTAGGACAGCGTCGATCGGATGCACTAATGGGATCCGTTCGCTGTTGTTTGTTTCCCATGGGTACGCAAAGTTATTGTTCGACAGTTGAAAGCCAATCTGCGAAAAGGATTTTTTTCAGGCGTAACCCACACCGCTGCGGGTGCCTGGGGCAAGGTATCGGAAAAACACTCAAATTATCTGAACGGTACCTCTCTTTCGGACTCGTACGCATGCGAATCCGAATGGTCCTCGTCCCTACCCTCACCTTCTTCTACGCACACACCCAATCAAAATCCCGTACTATGTCCTCCTCGGCCTTTGGTTCCTCGGCTGCGACTCCGAAAACAAGGGGCTTAATTCCACAGAAAAAGTAGTCGTGCTCGGCCGAACTGATCATACCGCAAAGGTTTTGCCCGGTCAACCAAATCTCCACTTTACAAACAGCTACTCGACTGCTTCTATGTTGACGTACGGAGTCGACCAACACTTTTAGAGTACGGTGGTTGATGGCATCATTCTCGATCTCATTGACGAGCGTTACCATGAAGGAAAACCGGTCGAACCCCATGGTATTGATCATTCCCAGAAACTTCTTCTTCTTCGCGTGATTTTATTCGTGCACGTTACAGTTGACTCCTGCGAACTGACTCCAAGTATTAAGCTGGCCGTATTTATCGCTGCAGTCGGAGCCGTGATTTAAGTCATGAAGGTGATCAGGTGCAAAATACGGTCCGGCCTTCTCCCCGTTGTAGGGGTGGGGAACACGCTCTTTCGGCGTGTCGTCGCTTGGATGTTGAAGCAGACAGGAAAGCCAGCAACCTTTCCGTCCTTGTCCGCGCTTTCGCCGGGGTTGCCGTTCGAACACCAAATCTGAATGATCTTCGGACAGTGTGTTGCCGCACCAATTACTGACCCGGAGCGCAGAGCTTGAACGGAACAACAAATGGAACAACAGGAAGTGGGGGGGGGGTGACCATTTTAGTGTGTTGACGCATTCAACGAAGGGGGCAAATGATTTAGCACTGTATCGTTAAAACGGGATGCCAACTACGGGTTCCAGCAGGCGAAATCAGGAAAGGTAGCTGGTTTTGGAAACCGCCTGAACTTGTATGTACGCACGAACAAGAAGGAGCGACAAACACATGGTTATGATGTGTTTCTCAGCACAAACCTCTAAACACATTCATGGCGAGTTGCTGGCGGGGCGCTAAAGTCGGGCGCACCGCAAGGAAGGTAATCAAAAGGTTGCCTGCGATATTCTTCTTTTCGTCGTCTTCCGGCCCGAGCTTTTCGGCGATGTGTGTCTCCTTCTCCTGCGGGGGAGCGCGGACACGAATCGGGTGATATTAACGGTTATCTTGATCATCATGCACTGTTCATACAGATATCTGACAAGGGCAGGGACGACGGGATTCTAGCAATCTACAACACGGACCCGAGTGCACACACCTCTGAGTACTGCGACATCACCGCGTCCAATTGTCCGTCCTCTGCCCAGACAACAACGTACTGCAGACCCATCTCCGGCACGAAGCACACGGAAAAAAATTCCCCCATTTGGGGGGGTGAGAGTTTCTCGTAGAACGGAGGCAGTGTTGGTACTTGCTCAGTATCGAACCCCCCGCTATCTTGAGCATATGGGCGGAAAAATCTCTGTACGCCTTCACCAACCCCAGCTCATCCCTGTATGGCGCGAGCGCGTCCGCCTCTTCCTCGCTTTCTTCCGTTTCGAGCATCCTCGCTATCGCGCTCACACGCGCGTGAAGCACTGCTACAACCTCCATGAGATTAACGGCGTACCGGCTCCGGCCGTGCAACGAACGAAGGTTCCTAGCAAGGGTAACGAAAGACTTCCCGTAAAGACCATTACACCCTCCCCTCGCATACAGGTCGATGAGCGCAGCGAAGTCGGTGCCAGGCTGAACCCACGGGTTGAGTCCCACGTCGCGCAGCACGTTGTACACGTTGTCTTGGGTGCATTTTGCCTCTGCCTGCGGCTTCCCACGCCCATTCCCGCTGCCGCCAACGTGGACCCCTTCCGTCGCCAGCGAAGGGATATCGACGTTGCCGGCGCCATCCCGCGGGAGTGCACCTTCATTCTCGACCACACCAGGCGCCCTACTGTGGACGGTTGGCCCTAAACGGCGCATCAAACCTGTGATAAGAAGGATTGGTAGAAACTACAACCACGCACGACAGCCACAGACGATGGGTGAACTGGGATGATGAAGGCAACGTCAAAATAGTGTACCATGTTCCAAGACGGCAGTAGCCGGACCTAGCCAGGAATGGGGATCAATCACTCGGCAAGCATGGGGTGATGTCTGCGTCGTTGCGGGAGGGCCGGCCTAAACGAACAAATATTGTCTTCGAAGTCTGTAATTCGGAGAAAAGGAAAGTAGCAACTTCTAGCACTTTCGAGTCTCGAGTCCTAAGGTCAGGTTCGGGGGGACCCAATATGGCCTGATAAAATCAGGATTATTTTCACGGAGTGCTGTATTGATTTTTTCCCGCCCAGTGTAAAGAGCCCCCCCCGGTGTTTGCCATCGGGGTTGGGTTTTCGTCGCTTGGCAACGACGTTGTAAAACAAGCCGCCCCCCCCGGTGTTTGCCATCGGGATTGGGTTTTCGTCGCTTGGCAACGACGTTGTAAAACAAGCCAATTCACTTCGTGAACTCGGCAACCAGGTCACCCTTTATTTTTTACCTCCGGTTTTTATTTTGGCAGTAACCATAGTGGTGGTCGAGTAGATCTTGTTGTGCGGGGTCGAGAACCCTCACTCCGCGCAAGGGGGATGATCGCACCACGTTGTGTTAA